AAATGTACCACTAAGATGCCAGGATAAACTCTCTCTCCCTCTCTCCTCCCCTCCCCTCCCTTTCTCTCCCCCCCCCACCCCGTTATCTCTCCTGACAATATTTCCAAGTACAATAGAGAAAAGATAGCCCTAAACAAACAGAAAGCGAAACATCTTCTCTGCAGCATTTTGAATTTCTTTTTTTTCCAGTGGAATCCGTTCAACTGGCTTCTGTGGCTCTAATTTTGGCAAACTTCAGATAAAAAATAAAGGCTCATCTGAGACCATTTCTGTGTAATTTTCTTGGGAGCGATACAGATGTGGTTTGCCACTGCTTTTTTCCCGGGATCGTTGTTGGCTTCCCGGTCTAGCCTAAAGCCTTAGTGTTGCATGATAGTTTCTCATCCTAGCACTAACCAAGCTTGACCCTGCTTAGCTCCTTAGCCCAGCCAGACCCCCTGAGACCAACTTCAGTTTCACAGTTGCCTATCCATAGCTAATATAGCGCAGGATTGTCGGTTACAGCACAATATGCTTTTCGCACTTTAACCTCATTGCTCCTCTTATTATGTGGATAACTTTCCATTGTTTCAGTGAGAGATATTATGTCTGGACCCCAAAGCATGGATTAATCTGTGCAGTTTGTAACTACTGCAAAGCATCCTTTTTCCTTGAAACACATATTCGCTATGGATATATTTGTGCATATAACAGTTGAGAAATTAATGGCCAAATCCGTAAATCTGTAAGATGCCATCATCTTCTTCTCTCCTCCACCCTACCCATCCATACTCACTTTCAACTTTTGGATCATATTGTGTAGCTGCTATGTCTAGGCATGATGCTTTGAGATTTTCCCAGGCCATATATTTAATGCAAAAATGGCACTTCAGGATACAAGTCCCTGTAGCCCAAGCAATCCTCAAACAATGGAGCTTCAATTGCCATGGCTTGTCTTGGCTTTTGTTTAAAAGCTAAAGGTCTCCTTCAAGTTCATGTTGACTCCTGGTGGCCACATGACATGTCCATGGCAGCAGTATGAAAATGGTTTGCCATAGCTCTCTTCAATGACTTATTTTTACTTCCCAGTCCAGCCTCCCTGGATTTCCTGAGTTTCTCCCATCTAAGAACTAACCAGGTCTGCCCCTGTTTAAGTTCTGGGGGAATAACCATGTTTGACTAAATGTATCTACCTGCTTCAGCCAGCTCTTGTTTTGTTTTCCTTTAATTATTACAGAGTAGCTTACAGAGCAAGGTTACAATCAGTTGTGCCCAACGTTTTCCCTCTGTATTTGTCTCTAGCCAATCTTCCCCAACCTAGTGTCCTCTAGATGTTTGAGGTTGTACCTTCAGAATTTCCAGCTGCCTAGAAATTCTATGAGTTGCACACTTAGCACATCTGGAAGGCCCAAGGCTGGGGCAGGATGGTCAAGGTAGATAGACCTGGAGACTCCTAGGAAATTAAGATGCCAGGGACAGCATAACTCCATACATCTATCCTGTACAAAAAGAGGAAAGTCAGGAGAGGAAAGATGTAGCAATAGATTTACTGTGATCCCACTGATAATGGGATCTTTCCTAAAAGCCTTTTATGCAGTGATGTTGAATGATGACAAAAATATAATGTAGTGAGTTATTGGGAAGAAGCTGTCTGTTCTGCCGGATAGGAAGTCTTCCAGTATTGTTCATTTTCCTACTGCTAGAGTTATTTTGCTCTGTGTTTAAAGGACCCAACACACAGTAAGTGGCTCTGGATCTGGCCTTTTGAAAACAGAGCTCTCAAGATCTTGTCTTCATCTACTCTTTTTTATAGCATTTACCCTTGAGCAGATTCCAGAGTAGTAAATTGAACTTTTCTCTTGTTGTAAAACACAAGAAAATGGAATTACATAGAACTAGCATGTTTATTTTATACGTCTTTTATTTACAGCAGTAGTGGACAATATTGTTTTCTGTTGAGAATTGCATTCTCTTGGCCTTTTTCTTTGGGACGATAAGGCAGGTGGGGCTACAGGAGGAGTGGGCAGAGGTAGAGATGTCTATTTCTGACTCCCCCATTTTTCTCTCTTTCCTGCCCTCTTTTCCTTTTTTTTCCAAGCAACAGACTGCAGGAAAAAGATTGAGAGCTCTTACCAGGGGTCTCAACCTTTTGCAGAAGAGCTTGGAATTTGCTCAAGAACTAAATTAGCGGAGGGCCCAGTGTTCTAACTCACCTACTCTTGATTTACAGTACCTCCCTGCTACTCAGAACAAATGTTCTCTAGACACTTGACCATAAGATGTAAGTACCATTAGCTAAAGTAAAACACCTATTATAGGGGTTTGATGATTAGAAAAAAAATTAGATGATAGAAAAAATGAGAGTTGCATTGTAACCGTAGAGTAAGAGTTCAGTTTAAATCTATACCTATAGCTGTTGTAAAAGAAAATCAGAAGTGATTCCTTTCCTTTCCTTTCCTTTCCTTTCCTTTCCTTTCCTTTCCTTTCCTTTCCTTTCCTTTCCTTTCCTTTCCTTTCCTTTCCTTTCCTTTCCTTTCCTTT